AATTGTTCCTAAAATTCGCTGTAAATTAGCAGCTGCATATTCGCTGCGCATAAGAAAGGCGGTTAATTGGGTTTGGCAGCTAAAGACAAAAAAAGAAAACGAGAGAGGCGAGAGAGAAAAGCGACAGAAAAGCGCGGGTAATGAGGGATTAATACCGCTCTAATTGCATTTTTTTTATGCTGTACTTCTGACGACGATTCGCTCGATTACTATTTTGTGCTCATGTATTTTAATCAAGTCAACAGAAAGATGTCATTGTTGAAGTTGAAGAGGTCAAAGTTTTATTTAAAAAATAATATAATAAATAAGAAACATGTTTATATCTATTAATGGTTGGATTTTATTTAAAAAAAAAGGATTTGGCCTTCAAAAGCGAAATAATTGAAATTTCATCAAAATTTCCAGTTAATCTTGCAAACGAATAAAATTTGAACTTTTTGCCAAAAAAATTTATATCATTGAACTTTCAGAAGAAAAATAAAATGTGCAGATACATGAACTTTTCTAGTTTAAGTAATTGTGCTGGCACATAAACAGAATTTTTCTCTCTCTTGAACTTTATTTATTGTCAGCGATTGTCAGTATTTCATTTTCCAACCTATCTGATAAAATATTACTTTTACCTCTGAAAAATCTGCGCTGTCAATCCAGCTAGCTTTAGTTGGGCCCTGATTGTGCATCACAAGCGCGTGAATATTCATGCGAAAGAGGCAACGCAGCAGCTCTTTAAGCCGTGAAAAATGGCGCCGGAGCTGCCTGTGAATATTTCACGCTCAAATATTCCCCGCGGTCTTTCTATCCAGAACGAATAAATACGTTCTCGCACTTGGCGCTGAGCGTGCAAAAAATAAATTTCCGCCACGTTTGAACGTGACTGGAGCGATTTTTCAAAAGTGGTCGGTTTTAGCCGTACCACTTCTCTTTGGCGCGCCTGGAAAAGTGTGGTGACCAATTATTATCGTCGGCGACAATAAAATCGTCCCGCGTGTTTTATTGCGCCCGAGCTTCGCGATTTCAGTCCCAAGCAAGATTTTTATGTCCAACGAAATGCTTTTAAAAGTGTACTACAGTGAAATTTTATTACGGTACAAAAGTGCATTCGGCGAGGCCGTAAAAATTTTGATATCGTTCCTCCAAATGGTCTTTTATATATTATGCAACTTTCTTTGCTATCTCTATTGGTGTTTAAAATGTTTTATTGGTCGTTTCGATCTGATAGCTGAGGAAACTACTTGACCAAATGAACAAAATATGATATTAAAATGTACACAATTTCTATTGTGTTACAATTGTGAATTTATTTAAACAATAGAGGAGAACAATTTTGGAATACAAGTTTAAATTTTATAAAATTGAATTAATTTAACTCTGTTATTCATGAAAAAAAAATTATTCTGTTTGTCACAATCACTTTCCGCTATCCAGAGATATCAATTTTGAATGATGCAAAAGTCTAACTTTAGCACTACATAAAAAATTACCAAAATTGGTTTGTTGTCAGAAAGCATCTCTTCCGCATCGTTGAACGCGTGTTGACATAAATTGGAAAAAATAATAGGCATCGCGTCAACCAACCGTTGCGAATGACGAATAAACAAAACAAAATTTCCCTGCAGCAACTACCGAGCTTTTACCGAGAACTCACGGGCGAATTTGATTATTATTCTCTATTATCAGAGGCGGAAAGGAAAGAGGAACAGAGGGAATAAAAAATGATAAAGGAGTGCACCGTCCAATGAAAGGCCGGTTCGTCGGAACAAAAGGGGGAACGGAAGCAAACTTTTCCTCCGAATGCAAATTTTTTAAAACCCAGTCTTGAAAAATTATACACGGTGACGTCAAAAGTAATTTCGGCTTGTCTCGGCCTGCAAGAAGCCATCATCGTGCCTAAATAATTACCAGAAAGGGAAGAAGACAAGCTGAGTTAGAGCAGCCCAAGAGAGGTAAATAATAATAAACTGCCGGCCACTTTTTTCCGTCGAGACAAGCAAAACGTGAGCGCGCCGCTTTTTGTGCATGAAATATGGGTGCTGAGATATTAGTGCCGAGTCGGAAATTTGTCTCGCTCTTTTCTTTCCACCTGCTTCCTACCATTCCACCCCGGCGACGAAATGGCAAAGTTTGGCCGCGGCGTGCCTTGCAAATTTTATTAACACCGGGAAAGAAAGTTTCAGTAATTGCAGAGCAGAAGCGCGAAAAAGCAGCCTGGTAATTGCTTTGAAAAGCTGCTCCTGATTTTACCCCTTAATTTCAAGCCTTTGAACTTTTTCTTCGGTCTCCAAATTAATATATTAAATATAAAATAATTAAAAAAAATTCCAAAGGAAACGATTGGCCAAAATAGTTATTTTTATGAAGAGTATCTATTTTGTTATAGAAGGTATGTTAAGTCATGAATAGCCTCTTATTTTATTAAAATTAAAGTGTGTAAAATATCTTTTTTTTATTAATAGAAATTCATCGAAGTCTATAAAAATTCCATTTTTTATTAATTTCTTTTGGCTTGTGGTGAGAGAATAAATCGAACGAATGGAATAAATATTTGAGAGTGAGCATTGAGTTTTGACCCTCCATTTTTTTTTAATACTTTCATATTAGAATAAAATCCATCTAAACACTAATTATTAATGAAAGCCTGCTAAAATGAAAAAAAACTTTGCGGTCATTCTTGTTTATTGTGTTCTTTATCCCAGGTATTTGGCACAAAGCGAGCAAGCCTTGAAACTCCACCTACATAAAAAATCACAATGACACTTAATTGTACATTCGAGCCTTATTATGCCAACAAAGGTCCCGAATTCCCCGAAGTCCAGGTTAACAGCATAATAGCAACAAAGGCCGCTCCACCCTTCTCCGAAGCATCGGCGGCAAGGGTGCAATTTTCTCGGCGCAACGGGGGTTGCTTTTCCACCACTTTCTACTGAGAATGACACGCACTGCCCGTTCCACGAATCGGACGGCGAGAATTCGAAAAGCGCAGGTGAGACTGTGGCCGGCCAGCGACAAAGGGGTGAGTTTAAGGGTTGAAAACTCTCGCAGGATCAATTTGGTCATTATGGACGTGTTGTGCGTGTATATCGTGCGGGGGCAAACGGCATTGCCGCCGCCGCCGCATAAACGACAGGATAATGAACTTTTTCGATGCGAGGCCATTAACGGCGTGGCAAATCCCTTTATTGTGGCCGGCGTTGAATTTATGCGTGAGGCGAGGAGGAGTTAATTGCCTCGCAGGACAAATAAACAGCAAGGCATGCGATCTATTTCAACGCTCAAACTTGCCTGCTGGATGATTTGCATGCCAAATTAAACGGTTTCAGAGGCAAAATTAATTGCCTGTGGGCTGCGACGCGTATACCGGTGGTGGCAGCCAACGTGAAAGGTGAAGAGTCAAGTGATAATTCAGTTTCGCTCGAAAGATAATTACTCTTGCTCGAGAACTAAAATTAATTTTCTTCGCTTGGATCTTTAGAATGAAGGAAAACGTCAATAACAAAATTGGGTCGGATAATTTTGTCTCAGAAAAACATTTCCCAAAAAAATTTTGAAAAAAAATGCAACCTTCTTTACGTCAAAGAGTTTAAATCAATAAGTATTTTTCTGTGTAACAAATTGATTATTTAGAGGCGTAGAAATTTTAAAAAATTTTCCAACACAGCCATGTAAATATTTAAATGTTCGAGTTAATTATTCAAATAAAAATCGAAAAAATTGCCTATGTTTCTCATTATATTTTTTTTCTTTTCATGGATTAGTGCTGGAAACATCTCGTTTTTTTTTTGCATACATTTTTTGCATCAGTTTTTTTTTATTTAGTTGAGAAATTGAAAAAACGGGCGGAACTCGTGATGATAAAAAATCAATGTAAATTTTGTATTTCATTTTTTTCCAAATATTTCTTTAATCTGAACGCACATCCGTAGGCAGCACCTACTTAGTTTTTAATTGTAAGTTAAATTGCGTCCATTGTGCTCGGTCCGAGGGGTCACGTGGTCTCAGTCACGATTATCACGCCCGTGTGTTTTCCCTGCGCTGTAGTATAGCGTCGAGCTTGGTCGCTTTTTATTGCCCGCTATTTACTGCATGAAATTTGAATAATTACATTTCCCAGCGCAGCAACCGGCAAAAGTGCACCGCGGCACGAAATTTAACACACGCGCCTGTATGCAAATGCACGTGCGGCGACGCCAAACAAAAAACCGCCGGTCTGTCTAATTCGAGCACGTTTGGTTTCTCGCACACAAATGCCAGGTCTGTGCAGCCGTTGCGCTGAAATGAATGCAAATAAACAAGAGAACACGACATGCACTGGCACCGGCGGCAAAAATAAAAGCCAGTCAGTTTATTAGCGACACAAACGAATTCGTTTAAGCGTTCCGCTGCAGAACTATTTTTATTTTCACGTCCGAACTCGTCCGTGTCTTGCAAAAAGTGGGGCTGTTTTGCATGAATTTGCAGGACTGGTATAAATTTGGATGGTTTTAGTTTCAGACTTTTCCAACTGAATAAATATTTCAGTAAAAAGTTTTTTCATTAAAAATTATTAATAACTAAATTTGAAACAATTTGAAAAATTAATATCTGGACTGGGAGACCTAAAAGGAAAGTTACTTTTTTAAGCATTTACAAACTATAAGTTAAGCTTGTGTTACATAAAATTACTAAAAAATAAAAATATAAAATAATTTTATTCATAATTATTTAACTTCCAAAGTTTTTAAAATATCATTTTACCAATTATATAAAGAAATTATACAAAAATTAATAAAATATTAAATAATCATATATGCAATTAAAATTGTGATATTAAATGTAATAATTAAGTTTTATGAAAATCAACGATAGTTTAATTTTTTTAATATTTTTTTATCCCTTTATTCACAAATGATTAGTTTTCAGAACAACGAACTTTTTATCTTTTGAAATCCTCAAACCATTTGTATATATGAATCAAAAAGCTTGTAATTGTCAATAAGAATACAGGAGAAAAAAAATGTACTCACCAAGAACGTCCAGATCGTTGGGTGCTCCACTAGACCCTTTGAAGCTGATGTCGTGTCCTCGCAGGAAGTCCTCGACGGCTCGGTAGTCGATGGTCGCCTGGTTGGCGGTTGGCTTGGCCTCGAGCTTGGTGTTGCCGGCCCGGCTGCGGATTTCGCGTTCGATTTCACAAATTTGTTTCTTCATCAACATTATGGTTGGGTTGGCGTCGCCGGGAACGGTCGGCGGGGGCACCGAGTCTTCGCCGTCGCTCGCGTGGCCCGAGGAAAGGCCGTCCTCGAGGACCGGCATGCTGCCGTAGAGACGGCCTCCGCCGCTCGAGTGCATCGACCCTTCGTTCTCGAGGGACACCTCACTCTCAATATCATTGGAGTCGCAGTCGGTCGTCTCGGGAGAGAGGGTGAAGTTGCGCGAGTGGCCTACCTGAAGTCCGATCTGTCGACAAATAGGAAGTTTGTGAGAAAGATTAATTTTAATCAAATAAAATCTATTCTAAAATACTTTACTCGCTACAAGAATAATTTCTGAAGTATTTGCAAATTTTAGTGAAAAACTCAATCTAATGTTTCATTAATTTCAATTAAATTTGCAAAAGATGAAACTTTAAATGGTTGGTGCATTTAAATTTAACAAATCATTCAAATATCTGCAGGGCCGTGGGAATTTAATCATAAATAAACTTCAGAACAACTTCAGAATCAAGTGACACAATAGATAATCATGCAATGAATCAAAATTAAAATCACTGCCAACATTGATTACAAAACACAAATGACTAGAGCATGCAAATTAATTGAATCCTGAAAAGTGATTTCGTATTTCAATTTTGCTAAATCAGCTTTGACGGACTTCAATTACAATCATGGATAAACTGATAACAGCAACTACTCGCGTCATATAAAATTAATGCTGCAAGTGGCAAATATTTAATGGCAGTGGAAATTGCTTGACAAGCTGTGGTTCGATCGAGAGAAGATTCTCTTCGACGCGCAGCTGCCGTTTGTTCAATGGGCTTTTAATTAAAACCGAAATGGTATTTACCCTTGCGATGTCTAATTAATATTCATAAGCATGAATGGGTTGCAGACAAATCGCGGCCGGCCCATTATCTGACCCGCAATATAATGAGACGTTTAAAGCCATCGGCATTATGCGCGTGTGATGCGTTCCAAAATATTTCAAACGCGCAGCAGAAATGGTAAAGCTGCTGACGGTCGAGCTGAATTTGCGGCTCTCGGCATTGATGGGAATTTGTGGGCCGGATTTGGCGTGTGCGTGTAACATGCAAATTTCACAATGCAGTAAACAACAAAATGTGAACCAGAGAAGATAAAGTCAGTGAAATTGAAAATGATAGCAAACAAGGCTTTTAATGGAAGTAAAACACATACTCGAAAACCGATTTTCGCTCGACGGATAATGGAATCAAACAAATGTCAACATACCCAATTTTCCAGAATTGGTAATTAGTTTGAAGAGCATATAAAATTATAACGATGGTCCGATATTTCTGGTTTGAGCAAAAATGATTTTAAATATTTGTATTGCTATGTATGAAATGTGGGTACTTTTATTAGTGGGTTAACTTTCATTTTATTTACAAGTTAACTCCATGGTTAAGATGAAATTTAAAAAAAAAATTTGTTTGGTAATTGATAATCCAAAAAATTTCATTAAAATAATAATTTATCTTTCGTATAACCTATTGTTGGAGATCAAGATACACATTTCAACATTAAAATAAATTACCTACAACACATACATTTTCCAAAATAAAAAGGAAGACATTACGAAACATATTATAACAGTGGTCCAGTGTTTTCTCAATTTCCAAAAATACAATCGATTCAAAATATTTTGCAGCAAATTCTACCAAAGTGCTTGCAACAAAAAGGCAAAATAGTGCATGCGCTACAACAAAACTCTCAGGCAAACTGAAAGAAAATAACTTTTCCAAATCTGGTGTGCAAGCGAGACGACAGAAATTTTTGTTTTTTCGGCCGATGGGGCTTCTCGGACTGACCTCGGTTTCCGCCAGATCCTCGTCAGCGTGGTTCGACGTGATTTCCAACTCCTGGGTGAGCAGACTCTGCGTCCGGTTGGGCGAGATGGCCTCCGAGATGGCGCTGACCGGTTCTTCGGTGTCTCTCAGTGATATGAGGTCAGGGGTGCCTCCGGACTTTCGCGTTCGGGGGGACGAAGTTGGGGGCGGCTCTTCGCTGGGGCCGTCTTTGGCCGCGAGTCGCTGGCCCACGTACGAGTTTCCCGCCTGTCGGTGCAGGTTGTAGTCGAGCTCGGCGAAGTCAACCTCGATGGGCAGCGGCGAACTCGGCTTGAAGAATTCCTCGAGCACTTTGCGCGTCTCGGAAAACTCGTACAAATAGTCAAAAGCCGCGTTCGCAGAGTCGCTCGGGAACAGCTTCGGACTCTCCTGCTTTTCCTCCTCCTGCAGCGTGAAAGGAATTTTTTCGTTTTTTTTTTCTTATACTTTGCACGCAGTGAGCCTTGTTAGTAGCTTTTATATGTTACAAAATTTTAATGATCTGCGTGAGAGATAGACGCATCCATCGCTTTTTTTAGAGAACAATCCGTCTCTCTTTTTGCCTTTTTGCGCATCAACTTGTTACACTAATGGGCGAGGGCGAATAACAAAGGCGCTGGTAGTGCAAAATGGGCGGATTCTCGTCAAGCTCCGCTTGATGTGAATTTACATATTATTTTGCTTGGAAACTGTTTACTCTCAAAATGGCATTGTGTTACTCTTAAGGAGAAGAAAGAGTTTTAAGACGTTGCTCTACATTGGTACTTTAAACTTTACAAGGACGTGAATCCGATTAGCATAATTTTTAATCAAAAAATTTGACTGAATTTAATTAGAATCAATGCTTTAATTTATACATTATTGATTTCTTTATTGCAAAAAATTTATTTGCAAGAACTTATAGCTCCATGTGAGGAGCTAGACTTGTAACAAATAAATAAATATCTTTTTTAATAATAACAAAATTCATTTAATGTTTTTCCTGGTTGGGGTTGATGTCCAATTCGCGGCAAGTGTGAGTGAACTGAGTAAAATTCAACCTCAAAAGCGCAAAAACAATCCATTCCGGTCAAAATGAAAGAGATAGAGAGAGGAACAGAGAAGTGCGAGTTTTCTTACCTCGTCGTCGTCTTCGTCCTTAGACAGGACGCGCTGCGGGAAGCCGGGCCTGGGCGGGAACACGGAGGGCGAGGAGAGCAGGGATTGTGCGCTGGGCAGGCCCGAGATGAGCGGCCCCGTCGGCGTCTGCTGCTGCTGGCTGCTGGGCGAGTCGGACAACTGGCGCGGGCCGTAGCGCCGCGGGGAGCCCTCGTACTCGGCGATGGGCAGGCCTCCTATCACCCGCGGCGCTCTCGACCTCTCAGGGGACAAAGGGTCAGTGTCTGCATCCGATCCGCTTGGACCAAGAACCTGCAATCGCCAAAAATTACAAAATTATTTCAGATTTAATTTATATAATTAACCTTTTTAGTCATTTCTTTTTTCAAAATACTGAAATTTTTTGACGATTTGATAACTATTAATTTTCATATTTTCAAGCTCCAAGAAATCATCCTGCATCCTTCCAAAATATAAAATATTAAAAAAGAGTTTGAAGTAGGTAAAAATTTGATGCGGCGAAAGAGGTCTTTTTGATCTTGAATTTTAGCTCAATCTTTGCCTTTTTTCCCAAACAATTCAATGTTTAGTCCCAACAATCATTGTTTTTCTATAAAATTTTGTGTATCAATTGGAAAAAAAATAACAAAAGTTTGTTAGAAAATAATAAATCTTCAACTAATCTTCTTAAATTTGGATTTAAAAAAACTAACAATAAGTGATAAGAACAAATACCGTCAACCTAGGCTCACTGCGGCGGATGGGGTATTTTTGATCTCCGAAGTTTTATTAAAATTCTTGCTAGTGGTGGTGCCGTTTTGTCCGAAAATTCATTTTCACTTCAAATAAATTGTTTTCAATTTTCCACTATTGAATGTAAACCATGTGATGTAAAAATTTGGACAAATAAACAACAAACAACAATAAAAATATTTACTCATTAAAAGTACAATTAATCATTTTTTTAAACATCCTCTATTTTAAGAGGAATGATTAAATGAATTAAAGAAATAACTAAGACATTATTCTTTGATATGAAAACTGAGGAAAGAATGAAGGACGAAAAAGAAAGATCAATTATAATTATATGTTTACTTTTTGACAGCTCGCGTGGTTCTAGATTATTGAAATAAATTGTGCAATATTTAAACAGCATTGAAAGAAAAAAGGCACACTTCGGGGAAAACAATGTTTTCAAAAGATATTCGGCTCCGTCTTTTCCTTTATCAAAGCAAATCATTCTTCTGTTTTTTTATATAATATATATACGACCCTATATTGCCGCCCACGCAGATATCGCGATAGCGAAATTGACTCAAAACAGCACAAAAGAAAGAGGTCTGCAAAAATAAATTCGTAATTTGTCGGCAGCATTCAAGTCGCGAGTAAAAAAGGGCGGCTCTTTGTCAGCCAGAGTAGTGGTATTGTGGGGACTGAGTCCCCTTTTTAATTGCTTTGACCTTGACCCAGCTTGACCCTGACCTACCCCACCTCAACCCTGACCTGCCCCTAACCTACCCCACCCTGACCCTGACCTACCCCACCCTGACCCTGACCTACCCCACTATGATCTTGACCTACCATGCCCTGACCTTGATAATTGACCTTGATTGCATAATGATTCACGCATCAAATTTATTATTTCGCAATAACTAATTACCCCCGCCACTTTACTGGCATTGCAAAATTGAAATTAACCCATTTCATGCAATCACCAGTGTCGTGACGTAACTTTCCCTTTGAGAGAGTCAAATGCTGACCTAATTTCGAAAGATGATCATCAAATTTTAGTTTCGCAATAACTAATTACCCCCGCCACTTTAGTGGCATTGCACAATTGAAATTAACCCATATCATGCAGTCACCAGTGACGTCACATCGTGACGTAACTTTCCCTCCGGCGACAGAGTCGGCGACAGAGTCGACTCCTTCCTGACCTACTTTCGAAATGTGCTCATCAATTTTCTCCGTGAGAGATGGAGCCAAACCGTCCTATAATAAAAATTGAATTAGCTCGTGCGCAGTGAAAGAGAGAACGGTCAGCAGCACACGTGGCCCGCCGCTGCCGCCCGAGCGAGAGCGAAAGAGCGTCAGCTCTTTCGATCATAAGGTTGATATCACATTTGATCATCAAAACTCAATGCACAAAACGAGAATCAATCCACGAAAACGAGGATCAATCCACGAAAACGAGGATCAATCCACGAAAACGAGGATCAATCCACGAAAACGAGGATCAATCCACGAAAACGAGGATCAATCCACGAAAACGAGGATCAATCCACGAAAACGAGGATCAATCCACGAAAACGAGGATCAATCCACGAAAACGAGGATCAATCCACGAAAACGAGGATCAATCCACGAAAACGAGGATCAATCCACGAAAACGAGGATCAATCCACGAAAACGAGAATCAATCCACGAAAACGAGGATCAATCCACGAAAACGAAAATCAATCCACTAAAACAAGTATCAATCTAAATAAACCTCCACAATCTCCTATATATGGGATACGTCTTTCAGCTAATATTATTGTAAGTTATCCTATTTTCAGGTTTAATTATTATAAATGAAAATCATTGTTTATATTTTATATTTTTGTGTTATTTATTGTGTGATATATCTTTCATTATACACCAATACACAAATTTGCCAGGTGCCGATGGACTTTCACATTCCTCCCACCATTTGGCAAGCCTCACAGGAAACGGCACAAACCTGAGAGAGGAGGTAGGTGGGGATTAAATTCGAAACCCTCTCACCTAACGAGCCTAGAGTCAGTTGAGTCGTTTGACAAATAGGCAGCACTTTGAGGCGCCTCTGACAAGTATCGAATCCGCGATCTTTAGATCACGAGACCGACTAGGCTGATATTTGTATTTTACAAACATGTATATTTTACTTTAATATTAAGAGTACAATTTTTTTTTTCATCATACGGTATTACATTCATTGATTCATTTTTTTTTCGAGGGTTAAATAGGTTGATTATAAATATTATTGTCAGAGTACCATATTGCTTTGTATTAGTTTTAAGATTCCATATATAACAATGCCCTTTTGTTCACATCCTATAGGTCCAGACTTTATTAATGCTGGTATTGTGGATGAGGTCATTGTTTTTTTTTTTTTTTACCTTTTTCAAGATAATATATATTTGTTTTACTTATTTAAATTTTTTTTTATTATTGCGTTTCAATGATTTTTATTTGTTTCTAGATTATCAATAGAGCAATAACTTTTTGTTCAAACATCCTATAGTCCAGACTTTATAAATGCTAGTAAGGGATGAAGGTATTGTCTATTGATAATCAGTTTTTGTTTTTATGATTATATAAATTATATTTTAATTATTCACAACTTCATTTGATGACAGATTTCTCTGTAATGTTTATTTTGTAAGAGATTTCCAAATTTGTTATTTATAAACTCTAAAACCATTTCATCATTGAAAAATGGAGATTGAGTGAATTTTCTTAAGAAATTTTCATATGATCCTCCAGAATGCATGTAAAATAAAAATAAAGCAGCGTATATTCCGCATAAGTTTGAATAATTAGATTGTATTTTAACATTGTTTTTGGTTAGCCTCGTACTATTATGCTGCATAAATTTATAATGATTTTGTACAATAGGCAAGGATAAGGAATCAAAATAATAACAATGTTTATTTTTTGAAATGAATATTGAAATCCAATGTAAGCCACTCTGGGTGTGATCTTGAGTATTCGAAATTACATAGCATGGGAGTTTATCGCATTTTATTTTATCACTCGGAAATACTTGTCCGCCTATGCAAGAAATTAATTCCGAAAGTTCAATAGAATTCATCGCACTTAAAGTGAAATTACAATCAAGACAACTTGAGTTATTATTAATATAATATAAACGAGACTCTCAAATATCTTTATAAAATCCATAAGCAATGTTGACTGTTCAAAGACAAATTGAGGACTGGTGGTGGTGTCTTTTATACCTTTAAGTTTCTAGAAAAACTTCACCCGAATGGGTAATATTAACTGTTTGAGGTGTTTCTCCTATTATAATAACTGAAAGAGCATTAGCTAGTGCAGTTTTGAATTTAAAATCTAATGTTAATGTTCCTGTGTTGACTTGCTCAATATTAGTTCCGTTATTATCACCTCCAAATATTTCTGAGAGTATGAAAAATCCGTTATTGAATTTATCAACAGACCAGCCATTAGTTTTACTATCAACCAAACCACAGTTTGCCAATACGTATCTGTACAGTTCATTTGTTTCTTTGCTTGCAAAGTCAAAATTTAATTTTTGTGAAGGATAACTTAAGCCGTTCACAGATATGTTATAGTCAATTAAGGAATGGTGTTTAAATGTATGAGGAGAGGTTGCGAAAGATCCATTTAAACTTGCTTGCTCTATAAAACAAATATAAAGCCTCGTTGGAAGGTGGTTTAAAAATACATTAGGAATACTGATTTGCATTGATTGAGCAGGAATAATTTGTTGTTTAATGGTGGTTTTTACTATGGGAAGTTTATAATTTTTGGTTTTTAAAATTTCCAAGTGTGACAAAATAATTTCACTATCAATTTTTAAATGCTTTACAATTAATGATGCATCTAGGATTTCAAGTTTTACACCGGCAACTTTCGACATTAAAACAAAATCACTTGAGCTGGGAATCAGCTTCAAGGCAAGCGAGCAACCCACGGGAAGAGGTTTATTTTGTTGAAAAAGCTCACTATGGATTTTACCCACAAATGTATGCTCCTTCGACAATGCAATCCAATTATCTCTTAAAAGAAGAGCTGCTCCAATAAAATCATCATGATCTCCAGCATTATCCTCTATATACCCTTCAGTAATTAATGAACTATCTTTCAAATCGAAATCGTAATTTAAAAAATTACTAATGTAGGCTTTAGTGGGATATAGCCCGGCATACTGTGATATCTGTGTATTATTTATAGAAACCAAACAATCGGAAAATAAACTGGAAAGTACATTGTTTACAGGCGAAACCATATTTGAGCTATCAGCGAGAAAGGCTGCCAGTTTTGTGCCATCACTATTTGTGACTTTCACTTTAACCGACAGGTAGCTATCTTTTAAACTGATGTAATTATCGGTTTGGGCGTTAATGTAAAAATCAAGTGGACCTGAAAAAGTGGCAGGAGCTAAACTCTTGTACCGAACATAATATCCCTGCTCCAAGGTGTTATTGACAGGCCGATCGTCAAACAAATTAAGATAATCGGGAATTGCGACACGTCTCATTTTGAATTGAAAATATCAAACTTAGTTCTGCGCTCAGGACGAATTTTAC